ATAGCTAAGTTATCATTGTGTTTTTATTCCTCGTGTTATTATATTTATATTTTTCTATTTTCTTTCTCTCTGCATTGTTGGGAAGGACCCGTAAGTAAGCATTTCACTGTTAGTCTACACCTGTTATTTACGAAGCATGTGACAAATACATTTTGATTTGATTTGATTGGACCTGGATAGAAATCTGTGATCCTCCTTAACCCATAGCAAGTCCCACTGAGTTGACTACTTTATCATAGTGAAAGCCTTCAATGGCACTACCCATGCTGAAACAGGCTTTGTGGCAAGTGTGCCCTCCATCCTATGGTCCAAAGGTCCAAACTCACCTGAGGCGCTCGTCCTCTTTCTTCCGGAGCCTCATGTCCCTCTGCACCACTTGTAGAACGTGCTCTGCCTCATCGTCCGTCAGTCCCGACATGTCCAGCTTCCGCCTCATGGCTGACTCAGGTACCACTGTCAATCCAACACCCTGGCCCAATCCACTGTCTCCACTGAGCTCAGGACAACCTGTAAAAGGGATGACAGACATTGGGAAAAGGTCAAAGGATGAAGTTGCTCCTAGATTATGATGTAAGGACAGTTTGGGTTGTTTCTTCTGATGGTTAAGGTTTAAGAGGGTTGAGAGGGTTAAGTTGGTCTTAAGTGTCTGCCTAACTTAGATCCACACAACACAACAGAGAACAATGCTCATGTCGTCTCTTCCTTCTGCAAAAGTCATTTTCAGTGAGCACACTCTTAGAAAAAAGGGTTCTAAAAGTGTTATTTGCAGAGGAATAGGGTTCTACCAAGAACTGTTTTCATCTGAAGAACCCTTTTTGATAAACAAGGGTTATTTGTAAGGCAAAGGGTTCTACCTAAAACCTTTAACATTCTGATAACCTTTTTTGGTAGAAGGGTTTTTTATGATTCTTGGGAAGGCAAGATGGGTTCTACATAGAACCCTTCTGAATCTGAATAAGCTTTTTTATTGTAATATGTTTCTTTCTTTTAAATAGTGCCCGAGCATTGGTGTTTACCTAAGTATTTAAACATTAAAATCAGGGAGTTTGAGTAATCTGATACATTTAAAAAGATATGTGTGAGAATGTTTTAAAATGTATATGGAAATATTGTGAATGTATCTGGTATTCCCTAAATAACATTACATTTACAGTACTGATATAATTTATATTTTTTCCATGATTTCTGTCTTTCAAATGAGTATTTTCTGTGATTTTATTGAGCAGAGAGTAGGCGAATAGAAGGGAGTATGAGTGAACCAGCTGTGTCCCTATGGGGACAAACCGAATAATCCTATATGGTTCTACTTTACACCTTTTTTTCGAAGAGTGCATCACACACCTTACTGCTGAATCACAGTAACAACTAGCTACATCAAGATTCAACTAAAACAAATATACAAATTAAGCCTTTTTTTACTTCACAGGTCTAATGAAATTCTGCGTCTGTGTTGATTTCACAATATAGAGCAGGCACCAGGAAGGAATACATGGTGGCTCTGCAGTCTTTTGTCAGGGTGGGAGCTTTCTGGCATGCAGGTCAGGCAGAAAGACCTTCCTATCCAATCCTTATGTAGCATAATTTGTCTCTCTGTGTACAGACAATGAGAGCCAGAACCATTCCGAAAAGCATCTTCTTTACAAAATGTTTAAAAAATTATCTCCTTTTACAGAAGACTGAATTGTAATTAGTCCCTTTTCACTTAACAATGAGATGCCTTTACTTGAGTGAATGAATATAACCTAATCATCCACAAATTACATATGACTGTAGGCTCTGACTCTCTCTTAAATCAAGATACCATTGTCTAGATTTGTTTCAAGTCCTTCATTTCCTCCAAGACAAAAGGAAAACAATTATGGTTGGTATTTTGTGTGTGCAGGAAACACAAAACTAAATATTTAAGATGAACAATGGTGAATGAAAAGCTCAACTAACGCTCTGTGCTGAAAAACAAGACTGAACACAAGATTACAAGTGTGACTGATTGAAAGAAAACAAGGGTGGGCTACACTATGCGGATACTTGTACTCTCAGATTGAACAACACATTGAGCTGTCTGACTTTTCAGGAGCAGCCAAACACCCACCAGACCTGGGTTCAGATACTATTCGAAATCCTTCAAATACTTTTAGCATTTGCTTCAGCCTGCCTGAAGTGCCAGATTGGTGGGGTTTGCACTTTTGCAACTGTTCTATTGGTTCCATTGTACCTGGCAAGGTCAATCAAGCCTAGATATAGTATTTTAAATGATTTCATATAGTATTTGAACCCAGGTCTGACACCCATCTCTGGCTTGTTAATAACTCGTGATTAAGGTACTAACTACAGCAGGTGATTAGGACTGCTCTCAGCACAGCAGCACCCTAAACCCCATGGTGAGAGAACACACATTTCAATCTGATAAGCCACAACAATCAAGCCGTTTTGTAAGGAGCATTTAGTACTCATGGCCTGAACCCAGATGGAGCCAAGTTGCCATTCTGGTAAACGAATAGGTTTTTATATGTTGGCTAGGCCTTCTATAAATCAATCAATTCACCTTATTAGCGTAAAATAAATATGCTATAGGCTATGCAGAGCCGTGATCGGGTCCATGCGGGTCTATTAGCTGTAGTTACATTGACTCGAGACCCGATAACAATCAAACAGACCCGCCCAGGACCTGAGGGAAAAGTTAGAATTTTTGGACCCGGACTCGCTCAGGTCCTGGGACGGGTCTTGGGTATCCAGGTTTGGGTGGACCCGTGAAGACCTGTATGTACACAGTCAAAAGTCCCAGAAGAGATTCAACAGTGTGTGTGTGCGTGTGTGTGTGTGTGCGTACGTATATGCGTATGTGCGTGTGCATACGTGCATGTGTGGAGTCAGTCCAAAAGCTCATGTCTCACTCCAACACTGACATAATAGCGTATGATAACTGATCTACAATCTGTTGAGCTGATGTGAGAAACACAGGAGTCCCTTTTCCTAGAGTTAACAGCAAACATTGCCTGCATCTGTACAATCCTGTTAATCCATTCAGTATCTCTGTTTTTGAAAATCTTCCAGGCCTGGAGAAGAAAATATTTAAAGAAAAACTAGGATAAAAGTAAGAGCCTATGTTTAGAACAATACAGTCACATATTCTACAGCCACCCATATCAAATGAAGAATTTAAAACAGCATTGTTTGCCTATGACAGGGGGGGAGAGATAGAGAGAGAGAATGAGAGAGAGATAGAATTTACATTTGTGAATAATTCGTTATTATACCAGTACTACCTTGTGATGATAGTGATGAACAGTGAAATCAAATTCATATTGATGAATGGGCTATTACTATTAGGCTATTCGGCTTAATCAGTCGTATAGTAAATTACTATAACTTTGACGGGGTGTAATAATAACATTTTAATTTGTCACACAAACGTAGCTTATATCAAAACATTAAAATGTAGAGAAATAAGTAACTCACCGGGTCCGTGCCTTAGGCTTCTTCTTCTCAGGTCCACACCGGTACAGTGAGCAAATCCCGGTCTCTGCCCAAATGTTGTGCAAGTCAGCTGTCGTGCGTGCATTAACACGATTTATGAAAGCCAGAAACACTCTAGCCTACATGATCATATCCGTGTAAGTTAAGTCCATTTCATTCTCGTTTCATGTTAGTCTCTTCTCTTCAGAATTTCGACTTACTTTTTAGGCAACACATGCATAAAGCTAATAACCTATGTTTCGGTCTCTGTACAGTATTGAAAGGACGATATCTGGACTACTAAGAAGCGCAATCGAAGTTGCAAACACCTGCGCTGCTGGCGAAAGAGCCTATCAGACCGCTGCATATAAACCGTTATTTTACTGTTTGGAATAAACGCGGCACAGTAGGCTAAACTGTAAATTAATTTGTATAGCCCGGAAGTGATATCACAAAGACTAGACCACTGTAGTTAAATTCATTGACAAAAGTTAATATAATTGAGCAATACATTTTCCATGACATGTTTTTAACTGAATGAGAATGAAGGTATTATATTCTAAGCTTCCATCATCTATTTCTATGGAGCAACTAAAGCTGGATTTTAGGTTTAAACTTTTCATGGAACAATGTTTAACACTCCATAATCACATTGGCCTACTAAACCTGAAATGCGATGAAATAATAATCATGGGCACATTTTATCACATTTTTATGTAAGTCATGATCAACCGAATGCTCATTGAAGTTTTTAACCTGGTATCCCTTCCCCATTCAGATAGCCTTTCTCCTCATAGCCTTACTGAACCCAACAAGAAACAATGCATCAGCCCAGCATGAAAAAGGGAGAAAAACAGGTGCTCAACTGCAAGAGATGGTGAATTAAATAAAACCTCATAACCAGGAATCGTCACAGCCTGTGACTGTCTCCCATAAAAGAAAAGCTCCTGCTAGAACAGTGAACTGTCACACAGTGAGGTTTCCTGGGGTGAGGAGGCTTTTTGTAGACTGGTCCCAGATCTGTTTGTGCTGTCTTGCCAACGTCAATGGTCATTAGTGTGACACAGATCTGGGTCCAGGCTTTTTGAGGGAGCCAGTGAAGTGATTGTTTGGAGGATAAAGCTGGACTAATGATTGCTTCACGTGAAACCCAGTCACATGTGGATCCAGTCAGCTGGGGTGGCTGCTGCCTGGGCTATGGTGTGGTGTGGTGTGGTGTGGTGTGGTGTGGTGTGGGAGGACAAAGTTCACTGGGTCCCTCTGCTGCTTGTAGTAGACTCGGTATCAGAGTGCAGAATCACACCGTAATCACACTATTCTCCATATAGTGCACAAAGTAGTAGGAGTTGAATTTAATTGAGAGAGAGAGGAAGAGAGGACGAGAGGAAGAGAGGAACAGAGAGGAATAGAAATGAGAAGTAGGTGTGTTGCATGCATGAGTGCATGAGTGTGCGAAATGCGTTTGTGCATTGTGCATGCGCATGTGAGCCTGTGTAATAAAAGTACAAAAGAGAGTTGAGTGTGTAGTCAGGTTCCAGTGCATCAGTATGGAGCAGACTGTGTGGCTGCAGGGTGTCCTGTGTCTGCAGGTCTGTCTGCTCTCCACCACGGCCCTCCCTGGACAAGACAGACGGACAGCAGCCTTTCAAACCAACCAAGCTATGGTGAGACATTCCAATCCTCTGTACTTTACTGGTCAGAATGATCTGTGTTCTTCTACACACAGAATGAAATAGAACACTAATATAAATGTATCTCCATGGGTCTACCAACCTTTATGGTCGGGGAACACTGTGAGTCAGTGAGGGTTTGTCCAATAAGTTCACAAATAAAGTAATCAGTACTGTACATGTTTGAGGCAAATTTGCTCTCATCTTCAGAGCACATCAATGATTTTACAGCCAACAATATAATTGTGTGCACGTGCGGCTTCAACTGTGTGGGGTGACACACATGTGTTTTCACTCAATTATCCAGGACCTCTGCCATCCAGGACCTCTATACCAGGCGGTGTCAGAGGAAGGCCCTAAACATTGTCATAGACTGTTCTCTCTGCTACCGCACGGCAAGCAGTACCGATGCACCAAGTCTGAAACTAACAGGACCTTGAACAGCTTCTACCCCCAAGCCATAAGACTGCTAAATACGGCAACTTCAATTAATAGCCCATGCGTTTATTTGCTGCAATCACTGAACACAACCACCGCTAATTAGAGACAGGCTTCTGTTTGAGACAGGCGTCTATTTCCTTAAATCACACAGCTTTTGCTCAATAACATTTTGAAAAGACTACCACACTGTGTATTGTGACCAGCATGACCAGTACAAACATTATAGTAACAAATCCATCGCAGATCAGACTAGGCTGCCTATCATACACCCCCGATTTCACCCTTCAGCACAATTATGTACCTTGTTGAGCGTTGTATCCCCCGTAGTTGCAATCACACCAGATAGACTTCGGTATTCAACGTTTGTCCAGGTCCCCTGGAAATCGGGAGATGCCTTCAATACCGTCCACTAGGGGCAACTTAACCGTCAAAGTTTATTATGATTAATCGTCACGTTTTTTCTGTTTCAACAACCTTAAGCCTTACCTACTTTCTCTTCACCCCTAGATGTTTCTCTTCCCCTGGAAAAATGTTAAAAACTGAAGTGAGCCCGTGAGATCTTGTTGCTAGTTGAGCTGACCATGTCTTCACATACGCTGCTGCTACTGTTTCTTATCTATCCTGTTGCCCAGTCACTCTATTCCTAGTTATATGTACATATCTACCTCAGTTACCTCATACACCTCGGTACTGGTACCCCGTGTATTTAGCCAAGTTAGCATTACTCATTGTGTATTTATTATTACTTATATTATTATGTGTTATTACTTTTCTGTTATTTCTCTATTTTCTTTCTCTCTGCATTGTTGGGAAGGGCCTGTAAGTAAGCATTTCACTATTAGTTCACACCTGTTGTTTACGAAGTATGTGAAGAATAACATTTTATTTTATTTTAATTATAGCAATAGAGAATGGAAATGTACGAATAGATTAATTGCTATCATATTAATATTTCTGCAAGGGTTCTGTTCAGAATGTTTGCAATAACTCTCTACAGGGAGGCTTACCCCCATTACCGCCTAGACCTTTATCTCAGGTGAGAAACTTACAAATTAACACATTTGATAGAGCCACTGTTGTTTCCAATCACTGATTGTTCTCTCCTGTTGCGTCAGATTTCAAGGATTAAGAGGCAGGAGAAAGTCAGGAGTGAATGCAAGAAAAAGTTGAAAATGTGTCGCTCCTGCCCAAGAGCCATGACAGCCATGATTCCTCCGGCGCCCAGTTGGGTAAGAGACCACCAAACACGAACATGAAGAGGTTGTTCGTATAGCAGACATTGAGAAAAGTGAATAGAGAGATGGCTTGGTGACCTGACAGATTTGATATGCCGCTCTCATAATGCAGCTCTCAAAGAGGTCATTTGAGAAGAACCACTGTTCTTGTTTTTCTGATCCAGTTCTCCTATTGTGGCATAATTAAGCAATAAGGCCTGAGGGGGTATGGTATATGTCCAATGTACCATGGCTAAGGGCTGTTCTTACGAACGACGCAACGCGGAGTGCCTGGATACAGCCCTTAGCCGTGGTATATTGGCAATATACCACAAACATCCGAAGTGCCTTATTGATATTATAAACTGGTTACCAACATAATTAGAGCAGTGAAAATTAAATGTTTCATCATACCCATGGTATACGGTCTGATATACCACGGCTTTCAGCCAATCAGCGTTCAGGGCTCGAACCATCCAGTTTATAACAATATGTAATCACTCTCAACAGGGACACTTACCACCATTCCTGCTTCCTAGACCATGTCGTCCTCCTCCTCCCCCTCCATTTGAGGTGAGAAACAAACTAAATAACACATTTGATAGAGACACTGTTCTTGTTTCCATATGTCTGATCCCTCTCTCCTCTGGCCTCAGAGTTTAAGGATTCAGAGGCAGGAGAAATTCAGGAGTGAATTCAAGAAAAAGCCGGAAATGTATCGCTCCCGCCCAGGAGCCATGACAGCCATGAGTCCTCCGGCGCCCAGTTGGGTAAGAGACCACCAAACACAAACATGAAGAACCAAAGAGGTTGTTAGTAAAGCAGAAGCTGAGAAAGGTGATATTTTGTTACGGTATGACAATATGCAATAACTCTCAACAGGGGGGCTTACCCCCATTACCACCTAGACCTCTATCCCATACCAGTGGTGGAAAAAGTACCCAAATATCAAACTTGAGTAAAAGTAAAGATACCTTAATAGAAAATGACTAAAGTAAAAGTGAGTCACCCAGTAAAATACTACTTGAGTAAAAGTCTAAAAGTATTTGTTTTTAAATATATACTTAAGTATCAAAAGTAAATGTAATTGCTAAAATATACATAAATATCAAAAGTAAAAGTGTAAATCATTTCAAATTACTTATAGTAAGCAAACCAGATGGCACAATTTTCTTGTTTTTTTATTTATTTATCAATAGCCAGGGGCACACTCCGACACTCCGACATAATTTACAAATGAAGCATTTGTGTTTAGTGAGACCGCCAGATCTGAGGTGGTAGGGATGACCAGGGTTGTTCTCTTGATAATGTGTGAATTGGACGATTTTCCTCTCCTGCTAAGAATTTAAATTGTAACAAGTACTTTTGGGTGTCAGGGAAAATGTATGAAGTAAAAAGTAAATTATTTTCTTTAGGAATGTAGTGAAGTTAAAGTAAAAGTTGTCAAAAATACAGTATATACAAAAATGTTTACTTAAGTACTTTACACCACTGCCCCTTGACTTTTTCCACATTTTGTAACGTTAAAGCCTTATTCTAAAATTGATTCAATAGTTTCTTTCCCTCATCAATGTACACACAATACCGCATAATGACAAATCTTTGTAGAAATATAACATTTACATAAGTATTCAGACCCTTTACTCAGTACTTTGTTGAAGTACCGTTGGCAGCGATTACAGCCTCGAGTCTTCTTGGGTATGATGCTACAAGCTTGGCACACCTGTATTTGGGGATTTTCTCCTATTCTTCTCTGCAGATCCGCTCAAGCTCTGTCAGGTTGGATGGGGAGCGTTGCTGCACAGCTATTTTCAAGTCTCTCCAAAGATGTTCGATTGGGTTCAAGTCCGGGCTCTGGCTGGGCCACTCAAGTACATTCAGAGACTTGTCCTGAAGCCACTACTGCGTTGTCGCTTAGGGTTGTTGTCCTGTTGGAAGGTGACCCTTCGCGCTAGTCTGAGGTCCTGAGCGCTCTGGAGCAGGTTTTTATCAAGGATCTTTCTGTACTTTGCTCCGTTCATCTTTCCCTCAATCCTGACTAGTCTCCCAGTCCCTGCCGCTGAAAAAAATCCCAATAGCATGATGCTGCCACCACCATGCTTCACCGTAGGGAAAGTTCTTTGCAAATAAAATTGGCTGTTGTTATTACTGTATTACTATTATCATTATTAGTAGTTGTCATGGTGACCTCTGTATATTACAAAATCACATATTAGACCAAACCAACAGCCAGGGAAGCCAAGATCAACTCCCTCTTGTCTGACAAGCTGTTCTAATAAGAAAGTATATTACTCAATCCAATGGAGAATCTTCAGAGGAGGAAGGGGAGGACCATCCTCCTCAGTGAATTTCAGGAAAAAAAATTGTGAAACATTTACAAAGTTATCCTTTTTAGATAAAACTATACTAAATATATTAATGTCACCAAATAATTGATTAAAACACACTGTTTTGCAATGAAGGTCTACAGTAGCCTCAACAGCACTCTGTAGGGTAGAACCATGGTGTAGCTGTTACGCCACTGAAAAAGGGGAGAAATAATCACGAGAGTGATGCAGTTATGTTTCCTCACTGAGAACTTTAATGTAATGAGGAAAATACCGCGATTTCCCCGGGAACTTGGGTGGAGACCAGAGCAATCGATCTCAGGCTCATAGATTAAGAGCATTTAGTAGATCAGATTAACACTTTTACCCTTAAATTAGGCACCACAAAATAAAGTAATCAATATAACGTTTACACATTCCTCTTACAATTTTTACCCTTTGTACGCTTGACAGATTTGAACCTTTTAACACAATTATATGAATTTTTATCAATCTCTATGAACTAGAACTGAATGCATGATCTTTTTAACCTTAGATATTTTAAGATCCTCACATACCATGAACTTACTAATACTTTTTAGCGTATAACAGGCTATGAGTGTTTCCTTCAACCTGTCACATAGCCGGAGGACAGCTAGTTTCCGTCCTCCTCTGGGTACATTGACTTCAATACAAAACCTAGGAGGCTCAAGGTTCTCAACTCCTTCCATAGACTTAAACAGTAATTATGAGAACTTCCGGAGGACATCCTCCAACTCATCAGAGCTCTTGTTGCATGAACTGACATGTTGTCCACCCAATCAAAGGATCAGAGAATTAATCTAGTACTGAAAGCATAAGCTACAGCTAGCTAGCACTGCAGTGCATAAAATGTGTTGAGTAGTTGACTCAAAGAGAGAGAAAGACAATAGTTAGTTTTGAACAAATAATGTTCTTCAAAAATTAAGAAGCAAGAGAGAGAAAGAGATAGAGATATATAGAGAGAGCGAGCTAGCTATATTTCATAGTATTTATCTTTTCACTTACTTAGCTAGCAAATGCAGCTAGCTAATTTAGCCTACTCAAAAACCCAGCTCAACCAGAGAGGGATGCTATGTTAGTGTCACGATCGTTGAGAGACGGGTCAGACCAAGGTGCAGCGTGCGATGTGAACATGTTTATTTAACTCAAATAAACTCACCACAAAACAACGTAACGTGAAGTCCAAGGCTATACACAATACAAGCCTAACACAGGAACAAGATCCCACCAACATAGTAGGCAACTGGGCTACCTAAGTATGAACCCCAATCAAAGACAACGAGCGACAGCTGTCTCTGATTGGGAATCACACCCGGCCAAACATAGAACCACAATACCTAGATCCTAAACATAGAATACATCACATAGATTTCCACACCCTGACTCAACATACAAGAGTTCCATACGTCAGGGCGTGACAGTACCCCCCCCCCCCCCCCCAAAGGTGCGGACTCCGACCGCACAAACCTGACATAACAGGGTAGGGTCCGGGTGGGCATTCCGCCTCGGAGGCGGATCCGGCTCCGGGCGTGACGACCTCTCAGCCTCCCCGTTGCACCCCTGGTCTGGTCTGGACCTCGGCGCGATGCTTCCCCTCTCCTTCCTCCCACGATGCACCAAGCCCTGTCTGGACCCTGGTGTGGGAGACCCCGAACCTGGAGAGGGGCTGATGTCTGGGCCTGGATCGGCAATCCTCCCGCGATGCACCAAGCCCTGTCTGGACCCTGGTGTGGGAGACCCTGAACCTGGAGAGGGGCTGACGTCTGGGTCTGGACTAGAGCCGCTGACCGGAGCTGAACTGGACCCCGGTGGAGCGGACTGCTCTGGCTCCGGAGTGGAACAGCTGACCGGTGCTGGACCAGGCACCGGTGGAACGGGCACGGGCCGTGCCGGACTGTGAACACGCACCACTGGCTTGGTGCGAGGAGCAGGCACGGGCCGGGCTGGACTGGGAACACGTACCACTGGTCTGGTGCGAGGTGCAGGCATGGGCTGGGCCAGACTGGAGACACGCACCACTGGTTTGGTGCAAGGAGCAGGGACGGACCGTACTGGACAGGGAACACGGTGAGCAGGTACGGGGCGTACCGGGCTGGCGACACGCACCACAGGTTTGGTGCGAGGAGCAGGCATGGGCCGTACCGGACTGGGAACATGCACCACTGGCTTGGTGCGAGGTGCAGGCACGGGGCATACCGGGCTGACGACACGCACCACTGGTCTGGTGCGAGGAGCAGGCACAGGCCGTACCGGACTGGGAACATGCACCACTGGCTTGGTGCGAGGAGCAGGCACGAGCCGTATCCGACTGGGAACCGGCGCTGGAGGTCCACGACTGTACCAGTCCTTTACTCTCCGCGCCCAGTCTTCCTCCAGTGAGGACTTCTCCTTGAGCCCCCACAAGTGCAGTGGTTGGGGCTCTTCTCTATCGCTCCCCAACCACCCTTTTAGCCCCCACAAAAAAATATATTGGGGCTGTCTCGCGGGCTTCCTCCTCGGCCGACGCCTTCTGTGTCCCTCTCCTGCCTGGGCCTCCTCCTTCGCCCAGGGTCCTTTTCCTGCCAAAATCTCCTCCCATGTCCAAAAACTCTTCCCCACCTGTGTCCAGGGTGTCTGCTGCTCCTGGGCACGCTGCTTGGTCAGTTTTTGGTGGGATCTTCTGTCACAATCGTTGAGAGACGGGTCAGACCAAGGTGCAGCGTGCGATGTGAACATGTTTATTTAACTCAAATAAACTCACGACAAAACCACAAAACAACGTAACGTGAAGTCCAAGGCTATACACAATACAAGCCTAACACAGTAACAAGATCCCACCAACATAGTAGGCAACTGTATGATCCCCAATCAGAAACAACGAGCGACAGCTGTCTCTGATTGGGAATCACACCCGGCCAAACATAGAACCACAATACCTAGATCCTAAACATAGAATACATCACGTAGATTTCCACACCCTGACTCAACATAGAAGAGTTCCATACGTCAGGGCGTGACAGTTAGCTAGCTGGCTATGGCTATCCAACACTGGAACTCTTCCAAGTCATGGTAAGCTTTTGGTTTGATTAATTTATTGCCACTGGGGCCTGCCGGTGTAACTGCTAAACTGCTTGCTGACTGTACACTGTACTGCATGATTGTAGCGGGTTTACTAATGCGTTACTTCTAGTAGCTATGTTTACTATGACGTTGGCTAATATGGTGACAATTATGTAGGCCAGGGTTCCCCAATTTGGCCCGCAGGTGGTTTTATTTGGCCACCAAAGAAAAACGTGAAAAATAATAATAAGAAGAATTGTTGTACATAAGACTGTAAAAACACCAGGAAATCAGCTCCAAGTGATTTTAATTTAAGAAATCTGTTCCCATGTCTTCATATGCATAATAGACAGACACGTGATCGTATCCAAATGTAAGCAAGCTTTGAAATGATTATATTTTAGTCAAACATTATATCTGTTTGGGCTTCTTGTGGTCACTTTGCAGTCTCCACATTTACAGTATTTGTAATTATATGTTCCGGCTCCCCGACCATCCGCTCAAGAAGAAAATTGGCCCGTGGTTGAATCTAGTTGATGATCCCTGATGTAGGCTCTGTATAGCGGTTAACGGACAGACAGATGATGTGTTGTGCACTGAAGTCCACAAGCGAAGGTAAAAGGTGAGAGGAGGCAAGCGCGTAGATAGACGTGAGAAGGAATTATATATACAACGAGCAAAGTGATCATGCTGTTTGTATGTCACTGCAATGAAATGGAACTGTGTTTGCCCGTGATCAGGGGTGTATTCATTCTGCCGATTCTGTTGAAAAACTTTTCTTAAACGGAAGCAAACGGAACAAAACGGGGATAAACATACCTGAATTTATCCAATAGAAACTGTCGTTTGCAACTGTTGGACTAATGATTACACCCTAGGTCACCTAGATGCAGCCAAGAGTGTGCAATGCGGTATTGAATGTGTCACTGTCTGACATATTCAATACTAAAAATTCAAGGTGCACATACGTTGTAAGCTTTCATTCATAGGCTAGGTTGTAGCAACCTCATAATGGGTACAGGGAAAATTAGAGTATCATGTACAGTAGTAGCCTAAACCTATCGATGTTACATTGAACTGGGTGAATGGAATATGAATGACAGTCATCCAATATGCTGTAATGGAAATAAGGCCATGCTCATAAAAAAACTAAAAAACCTCCCTCATCTTAAACGGCATGGACCGCCGCTGACTCAGAGTTTACTGTAACATGGTGTCCTCCCAAAGCCTCTTTCCGTAATACAGTCCATGCCTCCTCCCTATTGTTAACACACAGTTAAAAATGTGTGTGTGTGTGTGTGTGTGTGTTATTGTTTGTATTCCTCAGTGTTCCCTCTCTCCATCTGGCAATCATTAGCCATGTCAGTATAAAGAGGGTTTTGTGCGTAGTCAGGTTCCAGTGCATCAGTATGGAGCAGACTGTGTGGCTGCTGGGTGTCCTGTGTCTGCAGGTCTGTCTGCTCTCCACCACGGCCCTCCCTGGACAAGACAGACAGACAGCAACTGTTGTCACCTTCTCACCAAGCTGCTTGGCGATGGTCTTGTAGCCCATTCTAGCCTTGTGTAGGTCTAAAATCTTGTCCCTGACATCCTTGGAGACCTCTTTGGTCTTGGCCATGGTGGAGAGTTTGGAATCTGATTGATTGATTGCTTCTGTGGACAGATGTCTTTTATACAGGTAACAAACTGAGATTAGGAGCACTCCCTTTAAGAGTGTGCTCCTAATCTCAGCTCGTTACCTGTATAAAAGACACCTGGGAGTCAGAAATCTTTCTGATTGAGAGGGGGTCAAATACTTATTTCCCTCATTAAAATGCAAATCAATTTATAACATTTTTGACATGCGTTTTTCTAGATTTTTTTGTTGTTATTCTGTCTCTCACTGTTCAAATAAACCTACCATTAAAATTATAGACTGATAATTTCTTTGTCAGTGGGCAAACATACAAAATCAGCAGGGGATCAAATACTTTTTTCCCTCACTGTATTTGTAATTATATGTTCCGGCTCCCCGACCATCCGCTCAAGAAGAAAATTGGCCCGTGGTTGAATCTAGTTGATGATCCCTGATGTAGGCTCTGTATAGCGGTTAACGGACAGACAGATGATGTGTTGTGCACTGAAGTCCACAAGCGAAGGTAAAAGGTGAGAGGAGGCAAGCGCGTAGATAGACGTGAGAAGGAATTATATATACAACGAGCAAAGTGATTATGCTGTTTGTATGTCACTGCAATGAAATGGAACTGTGTTTGCCCGTGATCAGGGGTGTATTCATTCTGCCGATTCTGTTGAAAAACTTTTCTTAAACGGAAGCAAACGGAACAAAACGGGGATAAACATACCTGAATTTATCCAACAGAAACTGTCGTTTGCAACTGTTGGACTAATGATTACACCCTAGGTCACCTAGATGCAGCCAAGAGTGTGCAATGCGGTATTGAATGTGTCACTGTCTGACACATTCAATACTAAAAAATCAAGGTGCACATACGTTGTAAGCTTTCATTCATAGGCTAGGTTGTAGCAACCTCATAATGGGTACAGGGAAAATTAGAGTATCATGTACAGTAGTAGCCTAAACCTATCGATGTTACATTGAACTGGGTGAATGGAATATGAATGACAGTCATCCAATATGCTGTAATGGAAATAAGGCCATGCTCATAAAAAAACTAAAAAACCTCCCTCATCTTAAACGGCATGGACCGCCACTGACTCAGAGTTTACTGTAACATGGTGTCCTCCCAAAGCCTCTTTCCGTAATACAGTCCATGCCTCCTCCCTATTGTTCACACACAGTTAAAAATGTGTGTGTGTGTGTGTGTGTGTGTTATTGTTGGCATTCCTCAGTGTTCCCTCTCTCCATCTGGTAATCATTAGCCATGTCAGTATAAAGAGGGTTTTGTGCGTAGTCAGGTTCCAGTGCATCAGTATGGAGCAGACTGTGTGGCTGCTGGGTGTCCTGTGTCTGCAGGTCTGTCTGCTCTCCACCACGGCCCTCCCTGGACAAGACAGACGGACAGCAGCCTTTCAAACCAACCAAGCCATGGTGAGACATTCCTCTGGATTCTACTAGGTTTCTTCCCTGTCCTATAATCTGTGATTCCAACCCTATTCCTGGAGAGCTACCCTCCTGTAGGTTTTCACTCCAACCTCAGTTGTAACTAGCATGGTCCAGTTTATCAACTAGCTAATTATTAGAATCAAGTAGAGGGGGTGGTTTTCGTGGGGGGACTGTGGGGGGGGGTCTTGGATGGTGGAGGGGTGGTTTTCGTGAGGGGACTGTGGGTGGGTCTTGGATGTTTGAGGGTGGCAGGTTGCCTGGCGGTTGGGAGCCTTGGGCCAGTGGCCAAGAGGTCGCTGGTTCGGGTCCCCGTCGACTGGATGAGGGATCTGTCGATGTACCCTTGAGCGGGGCACTTGACCCTGATTGCTCCTGTGGGTCACTCTGGATGGAAGCGTCTTCTAAATGACTAAAATGTAATGTAAATGTTGAGCGGCTTCACGGCAGGTGGATTGTATATTAACCTACAGGACAGTAGCTCTCCAGGAACAGAGTTGGAGAGCCCTGCTCTAGATTGACACACAGTTAGAATGTGCACATGGGTATAGAAACCATGCTGGTACTATCATGTTTATTCTGAACCACTCTCAACAGGGAGGCTCTTCCCCATTCCTCCCTGGACCTCCACCTCAGGTAAGAAACAATATTACCACATATTACCACATTACAACATTTCCACATAATTTCTACATAACAAAACACACAAAGTCAGTAGTCTAGAAAAGATTGCTTTGAGACCTGATAGATTCTAATGGTATCATCATTTGGACATCAGGTAGACATGAAGCCACTGGTTGTGCAGCTCAGAGCAAAGAGACATGAGGAGAGTGTCGCCGACGGAGACAAGAGAAAGGGATGCAGTGGCCACCGTCCAGGGAGTTGTTCAGTGGTTAGACGTCCACCACCACCCAAGGTTAGAGAGAGAGAGAGAAACAGAGAGAGAGAGAGACGCTATAGTGTTGAAACATAAAGGATATGTATGCTTACAACTAATTTTAAGTAAGGTACTACATCTCTGTCAAGGGAATAAGTAACCTTAAATGTATCAAAACTACACTCAGAAAAAAAGGGTTCCAAAAGGGTTCTACCTGCATCCAAAAATAGTTATTCAAAGAGTTCTCCTATGGGGACAGCCAAAGAACCCTTTAAGGTTCTAGATAGCACTTTTTTTCTAAGAGTGTATAACTGACTGATAGAGTGGACAGCCCATGACATAACAATGCTATTGTACTGTCATGCTGCAAGGTTGATATGAAATCTCTTAAATTCATTTAATATTATATGCAGCTCTCAAAGAACTGCACTGACTTTGTGATCAGTTACAGTAACAGATTTGATCGGAATCAATGTCCTAATTTCCACTCGTAATCCTTTCACCTCAGAGTTCCAGGACTAAGAGGCAGGAGAGAACCAAGGACAGACGCAAAAGACCCTATCGTCCTGGAGCCTTGGCTGTAATTTCCGATCCAACTGTTCCTGTAAGTGTGGTGACCGACAATCGTCCATAACTGAATGCTAGAGGTGGTGTGGTTAACATGATGGTATATGTATCTGATTGTATTAATCCTTTGCTGCCATACGTACATTTTTTTTAAAAATCTGTGCATTCAGCCTTACAGATCCTCAGCATAGTAGAAGACGGTACTGAGACACAGGACAGGCCATGGAGAGAAACCCACCGCTGAAACTTACTTTTATTTTGGTCAGAAGTGAAATAAACATGAAATAAATATGTGGTATAGACAGTAAAACACTCGGTCCCGCTTTATTTGAAGTGCATCCTGAGAAGGCTTTAAAAAACATTCATATAGGCTTCATAAGCACTGCATAAATGGGTCACGAATAATCTATAACCATATTTCATGCTCTATAAAAGATTTATAAATGTGATGTATAAATATGAACAAATAAATGTATGGTTATGTCACACAGTTATGCCACATTATGAATCTTTATATAGCAAGATATAAGGTTATAGATGATATGTGAAGCATCTATGTAGTGCTTATGAAGCCTATATGGCTTTATGAAGCCTTCATAAGATGCATTTCAAATAAAGCGGGACTAAACTTTCATTGACTTTGTTTTCAGTTTTCCAGTAATGCAATTAGAAATAAAACTCTCCCGTGCTGTGGACTGGACTATGAAAGCGATTCACTCATTTCTGATTGTTTTGTAAGACAAATCACATTGGGGTTACCAAACTTGTAGGGGGATAGCTATGTTCCTGGAATCGACTCTGTATTTTAATGTTATTCAAAGCCTTAAATCACAGTTAAAACAAAGGAAACAAACATTTCAAGACACGCATTCAATGTATTTGTTTCAGTAGTCAATAATTTCCCAATTTCACTTTATTCTTTGTCAAATGCTCAATGTTGCTGCATATTTTAACAGTTATATGTCTGTTCTACTAAATAGAAATGTTATATCCAGGACAGGAATACAATCCAATGTATTCCTACTGTGGTTATTACGAGAGATTTGAATCAATCAAGAAAGCATTACAACCCCAGATTTTTTTATTTTTGGTAAGGTCATCATGGACGTTTGCAATATATCCACTAGTTCCAATCAACAGTTGAAACTTAGATAGATTTAGGGAGGCAGTGAGATAATATATACAGAGTTAGAAGACCAGCTGTCTGCAACTTTTAACAGAGCAGTGAATCACCTCAGTGCTGTCTCTGGGCGGTGTCGCATTTGCCTGGGATTTTTGCCCATTCTTCAAGGCAAAACTGCTCCAGCTCCTTCAAGTTGGATGGGTTCCGCTGGTGTACAGCAATCTTTAAGTCATACCACAGATTCTCAATTGGATTGAGGTCTGGGCTTTGACTAGGCCATTCCAAGACATTTAAATGTTTCCCCTTAAACCACTCTAGTGTTGCTTTAGCAGTATGCTTAGGGTCATTGTCCTGCTGGAAGGTGAACCTCCGTCCCAGTCTCAAATCTCTGTAAAACTGAAACAGGTTTCCCTCAAGAATTTCCCTGTATTTAGCGCCATCCATCATTCCTTCAATTCTGAACAGTTTCCCAGTCCCTGCCGATGAAAAACATCCCCACAGCATGATGCTGCCACCACCATGCTTCACTGTGGGGATGGGGTTCTCGGGGTGATTAGAGGTGTTGGGTTTGCGCCAGACATAACGTTTTCCTTGATGGCCAAAAAGCTCAATTTTAGTCTCATCCGACCAGAGTACCTTCTTCCATATGTTTGGGAAGTCTCCCACGTGCCTTTTGGCGAACAACAAACGTGTTTGCTTATTTTTTTCTTTAAGCAATGGCTTTTTTCTGGCCACTCTTCCATAAAGCCCAGCTCTGTGGAGTGTACGGCTTAAAGTGGTCCTATGGACAGATACTCCAATCTCCGCTGTGGAGCTTTGCAGCTCCTTCAGGGTTATCTTTGGTCTCTTTGTTGCTTCTCTGATTACTACCCTCCATGCCTGGTCCGTGGGTTTTGGTGGGCGGCCCTCTCTTGGCAGGTCTGTTGTGATGCCATATTCTTTCAATTTTTTAATAATGGATTTAATTTTGCTCTGTGGGATGTTCAAAGTTTTGGATATTTTTTTATAACCCAACCCTGATCTGTACTTCTCCACAACTTTGTCCCTGACCTGTTTGGAGAGCTCCTTGGTCTTCATGGTGCCGCTTGCTTGGTGGTGCCCCTTGCTTAGTGGGGTTGCAGACTCTGCGGCCTTTCAGAACAGGTGTACATGTATATTTACATTTACATAATTTAGCAGACGCTCTTATCCAGAGCGACTTACAGTTAGTGAGTGCATACATCTTTTTTTTGTTTTTGTTTTTTCATACTGGCCCCCCGTGGGAATATACTGAGAGCATGTGACAGATCATGTGACACTTAGATTGCACACAGGTGGACTTTATTTAACTAATTATATGACTAATTATTATGACCTTATATGAAGGTAATTGGTTGCACCAGATCTTATTTAGGGGCTTCATAGCAAAGGGGGTGAATACATATGCACGCACCACTTTTCCGTAACTTATTTTTTAGAATTTTTTCATTTCACTTCACCAATTTGGATTATTTTGTGTATGTCCATTACGTGAAATCCAAATAAAAATCCATTTAAATGACAGGTTGTAATGCAACAAAATAGGAAAAATGCCAAGGGGGATGAATACTTTTGCAAGGAACAGTATGCTCTGTTTCACCAGGGAATTAGTTCAGATCCCAGACTAGTGCAGTGTAGACACCAAAGAACAGAACCTTAGCAGAGAAATGTTTACAGAACAACATGCTTCAGCCAAACCTTGATGGAAATGTACAGAACGATGGTAAATCATTAATTTCCCTCCTAACTCCCACAGATAAATACTTGATCCAATATCAACATTACGTGTGTACTGAATATTGAGTCCTGGACTCAGTGGACCCTCTATATCCATCCTTAAAATTGTGATTCTAGCTCATAGGCTTCAACATACATACACTATATATACAAAAGTATGTGGACACGCCTTCGAATTAGTGTGTTAGGCTATTTCAGCCACACCCGTTGCCAGGGGCGCAACTTTGGTTTTAGAAGTGGGGGAGACATAACTTGGTGGGGGGGTCATCCCCTTTATGGGGGCATCTAAAGTTAATTTCCTGCATTTCTACACAATCTAATATGGCCCATGGCCCTTCTAGCCATCTCTATTTAGAACAGCATAAAGTAAGCAAAAATGCCCAGTCATCAATATAGGTAAGAGATCATAATTAAATATGTTTAAGTGATTGATAAGACTGAACTAGATCAATGATAATTCAACAATCACTATTGTGTTGCACCTTTAACCAATAGCCTAACAAATGAACAACTCTTACAAATAAAGTACAAAGACTTCTGATTGTCTTTATTAAGACATCCTCTATATCAAATTCCAGCCAGACTACCCAGTCAGCCCAAGCCGTCTGCACGCCCAACCCCCACCAATCTAGTCAATAACTCAACTCTCTCCCCAACACAACTTCCTTCCCATCTTTTTTGTTATGTCTCATGGAAAGGTTTGGAAAACTTGTATAAAAACACACATAAACTTACACACTAACACAAAGAAACAGTACACCCTCCACATAATTCATATCATAGGCCTAATAGTACTGTAGAGCATTGTGTTGTGTACTGACTGTGCACCATGACAGTGAAGCCTGTAGAGCTGTTTAAACATTGTATGTGTGAAAAGTAGGGAATTAGCTAGGGAAACTGACAGATCAATAACGTTACATTGCTATACTGACTAATAGAAACTCACATTGCACTGAAAAAATGTCCGAATATCAGTCTTCAATTGTTTGGCCGCTGGTTTCATCATTTAATTCAGGTCTAGTGTGATTGAGGCAAAAATAATAGCTAAAATTAGTGAGCTAGCTAACGTTAGCCAACTTTTGGCTAGCTCTGCTAGCTAATGGTACAATTTTACATCATCAAATGTACTTATGTTGAAACGGGACAAAACAGCTGTTAGATACTGCTACCTGACAGATACTGTAGCTAGAGGCTAGCTAGAGCTGAACTGACTGTTGACGGTAGCTACTAGCTAGCTAACTAGCTGCTAGTAGTTCATTCACTTCAGTCTAGAGGGGATTAAATATTAGCTAACGTAACATGTCAGTTACACTACTAGCTCAGCACTGGGAATATATATATGTATATGTTCTGTCAAACAGCAGTTACCTTGCCAGCTAGATCATTCAACTAAAGAGTAGCCAGTTTCTGCTCTGTTCTTTTTTTTAAACTCTGAGAAAAAGCACAACACAAACAACAGCTGCCTCTGTTCATCTCTCCCGTGCTGGTCCTATACGCCAGCCTTTCAGAAGCTTTGCCTTCACACAGCCTTTCCGCATGCTCTGAGGTGTCTGCATGGTCCTAAAGCACACCGGAGGAACGTTTTGTATCACAGTGCAATGATAAGGGGGGCGGACAAACACGCAATTTCAGAATGTGTGGGGGGGGGGGGGGTCATGTCCCCCCGTCCCCAGTGAAAGTTGCGCCCCATCCGTTGCTGACAGATGTATGAAATCAAGCACACAGCCATGCAATCTCCATAGACAAACATTGGCAGTAGAATGGCCTTACTAAAGAGCTCAGTGACTTTCAACGTGGCAAATTTCTGCCCTGCAAGAGCTGCCCTTGTCAACTGGAAGTGCTGTTATTGTGAAGTGGAAAAATCTATGAGCAACAACGTCTCAGCTTCGAAACAGTAGGCCACACAAGCTCACAGAACGGGACCACCGAGTGCTGAAGCATGTAGCCCGTCAAAGTTGTCTGTCCTCAGTTGCAACACTCACTACCAAGTTCCAAACTGCCTCTGGAAGCAATGTCAGCACAAGAACTGTTCGTCGGGAGCTTCATGACATGGTTTCCATGGCCGAATAGCCTAAGATCACCATGCGCAATGCGAAGCGTTGGCTGTAGTGGTGTAAAGCTCGTCACCATTGGAAACTTGGAGTCCGACTGACAAATCTGGGTTTGGCGGATGCCAGGAGAACGCTACCTGCCAGAATGAATAGTGCCATCTGTAAAGTTTGGTGGTGAAGGAATAATTGTCTGGGGCTGTTTTTCATGGTTCGGGCTAAGCCCCTTAGTTCCAGTGAAGGGAAATCTTAATGCCACAGCATACAATGACATTCTAGACGATTCTGTGCTTTCAACTTTGTGGCAACAGTTTGGGGAAGGCCCTTTCCTGTTTCAGCATGACAATGCCCCCATGCACAAAGTGAGGTCCATCAAGATACTTTTGGTCATGTAGTGTACATCATGTGATGGATTGAGAGGGTGGGTGTGTGATGGCCGGTATATTGCTGCTCGTTGGCTACATCTGCCGGCCAGGAGAGAGCGTGGCCCGGAAGGGTAAGAGCCTAATTATACACACCTGAACCGGTTGGGTGGTGGTTGTTTTAATCTGGCTGTGGCCAGATCTACTTTGTTCTCTGGAGCAGCAACAGCTGACATGTCTGGCAGAAAAACAGTTCATTCAGCCTCATTTACTGCCTTTTTAAAAAACAGCTGATATGGCTGACTTGCTTAAACAAATGTCGTTTCTACTGACAATTGAGATGTAC